CCCGCCCCCCCCCCCTCCTCTGCCGCCGCCGCTCTTCTTCGACTGCCCCATGTAAAAATTCACATTCATTTTTAATATATTTATTTAATATATTATTATTTAATATATTAAATAATAATATTTATTTTAATATATTATTATTTAATATATTTAATATTATTATTTATTCAATATATTATTAATTTAAATATTATTACATGTTTTTAAAAATTAAACCACCAAACGCAGTTTCAGTTTTTTTTTAAAAATGAAATCAATCTCTGAATAAAACTACCAAACACATTTCAGAAATAATTCCAAAATGAAAATGAAAACGTTTTCATTTCTATTTTCATACAGAAAATAAAATCATTTTGGAACTAATTCCAAACGCACCCTTAAATGTGTGTTCAAGATGAACCAAAGAACCATAAAATATTGGCAAAAACATTATTGGAGACGTACATATTATGTATGCTTATTTTGAAGACAATAACTTACTTTTGAATGATAGCAAAATACATCATTCATCTGCATGAGGGAACTTTCTTCTAATAACGCTTTATTAAATTCAAATAACTTCAAAAAAAAAAAAAAAAAAAGGGGGGTTCATAGACAACTCACAAATTCACCAGTTTATGGGACAAAAGTACCAAAGAATTGTTTTCATAATGTTATTGTTGAATTGCCGAAGGATTGTATATACTAATATTGAATGGATATGAAGTGGGGTCCAAATGTATGACCAAGTTTTTTTTTTTTTTCCTCTTTTTTTCCAGCTTCAGACGAAGTTGCATTTTTTTTTAATTTGAAACCAACTTGCATTTTTTTTTTTCAATCCTGACGCTTTGTTTCCAAGCCCATCAAACAAAGATCTCCTTTCTTTTTTTTTTCTTCCATATTTCTCTCTCCTTTACTCTGTCACCTAAAGAGTATATTAGTAGACAAAAACTAATTAGACACTTTTATATTTTGTTTTCTCTTTTATGAGAACACCAGTATTTTTTATTTATTAGTCGTCAGATTTATATTAAATCTGATCAAAAATTAAATTAAATTAAAATTTTAATACAGATTTAACGACCGATAAATATGAAACACCAGTATTTATGAAAAAGAGAGCACAAGAAAATTCTCAATAATTAATGTTTTGTATAATTGCATTCATGATTGTGGAAAAAAAAAACAAAAAAGAAAGAAAAACACTAATATTGCAAGTGTTGCGTTTTATCGTTTATATCTTTTTCTTCCGAGTTTGATCGCACTAAACATTAACGAATCATGTACTGTAGTTGGTCGTCCTGTCCAAACATCTTTTACTTTCTTCTCCGGTTATTCCTTGTCCAAACCCAATAACACAACGTCCCTCACACAAGCAATTACAACAAAGAAGAAATACACAAATATCACTCAAAATATACCATCTTTATTTTCATGTCACCTAATAACATAAACATAACATTTATGCCACTCAATTCACTAAAAAAGATCAGATTTTTTTTTCTCAATAAAGATAGTTGAACATCTTCAAAGTATATTCTAGTACAATTTTTTTTTAATATTCTATCAGAGTAGTTTATTTGTAAATCAACAAAAAGGACATAAATATAAAGCTATTGTATTTTGGTGACATAAATTTTCTCTTATAACAAATTAAAATAAAATTTTGTGGAGCTTAATAGAGCTTTCATTTTGCAGCATGTGGTTCTGTTTATAGGACTTCCTTTATCCTCTTTCAAGAAAAGTGATATAGTTCTAACATGCAAGCCCTTCTTTTCTATTATTTTTTGTTGGTTGCTCGTCAAAGAACTTATATGATAGGGATTCTCTGTTAATATTGTGCATTTGGAAAAGGGTGTGGATGTTTGAAAAACCCTGATTCAATTAACAGTGTGTTTGGTATGAATGAAAAGTGGAAGGAAAAAAAATGTTAGAGGTATTTTAGGATGGAAATTGGTAAGTTAGCTTGTTCGGTAGAAAGAAAATTGGGAAGGAAATGAAAATTGAATGAAAATTTTTATTGGTGGGTCCTACTATATTTAACCCTTTTAAAAGTATACCAATTTTAAGAAGGAAAACATGAATAACTGCACAAATGAAGTCAAATTACTAAATTTTCTTCATTTTTCATCCAAAATTGACAGATAAAGTTGGTTATTTCTTTACCAAAAAGAAAAGATAAATAGAGCTCTCTCTCTCCACTCAGCTCACTTTTCACAGACAGAAAAACTTCCCATTATTTGTAAGTTCTATTGTTGAAGATTGAAGGTGCGTGGTCTAAATTTACTTCAATTTTAAAATTAGTTTTGTGGATGAATCTCTCACCCCCTAGTTCTTTCATATAAATTTTCCCTTGTTCTTTCTTGTAAATTTTATAAGTTAGTTCGTAGGTAATCTGACTTTTTCTTTCTTGACCGTAAATAATCTAATTGGGTTAAATTGATTCATGCACTTTTGCAAAGGCATAGATTTTTCATCGTATCTTTGGATGGGTCAAATGGAAATGGAGTTTTTGTAACGATGTTCAACTTTGAATTCTTTTTTCAATTGTATAAATTTAGTATTGTAAATATGGTGTTTTTTTTCTTTTTTTTTTCTTTACAATATATTAGTCCAAAATTTGTTTTTGCTTGCGTAATATCAACGTTATATGTTATTTGAGACGTTCCAGTTTTTTTTTTTTTTTTTTTAAAGGATTGAATTGGCTAAATGGTAATTTGGGAAGCTCTCTAATGGATTCTAATGCTATAGGTTTTTGAATTGAATGTGAAGATATTCTATTTATTGTAAAGTCTCTCTTTGTTTTCTTTTTTCCCTAAATTATTGTCATGACGTCTTCATTCTAATTTAGATTTATGGTAGTTGCATATGTTCAATGGCATATGCTGTATTTTATTTAGATTTTCATGATGTTTGTCTTTTTATATTTTTTTTTATATTTTTTTAACATTATGCTCTTATTCTTTCTATATTATGAATTAGATGTTATCACTGTTATGAGTTTTCCTTAATATGTGAATAGAATTAAATTTGTGTGCATAGTTGGAGAATATATGTGTTGATTAAGAATACTATCAACTCTTTTCAGCAAAAAATTGATTCTTGTGTATATGCACATAATATAGATGGAATACATGTATAAGTTACATGAATTTTTCTAGTTAATTTGATGTTGAATACTGTATTATTTATACTTTTATTAGAAAAGAATGTTAATAAAATATTTGGACAAAAAAGTAATTACATGTATATATACATAGTATAGATAGAATACTTGTATAAGTTATATGAATTTTTCTATTTAATTTGATGTTGAATACTGTATTATTTATACTTTTATTAAAAAAGAATATTAATAAAAAATATTTGGACAAAAAGGTAATTAC